CAAGGCCTCGAAAGCGCGGAACAAGGAAGAACTACGGTGATGACCCTTCGGGTCGTCACAACCCTATTCTACCCAAATTCACCATAGAATCTCAGTGGATATATTATTGTTGTATATATAATATTAAATATTAAATATAATATATAATATATAATATATAATATAGTAATATATTAATATTAATATTAATATTATATTATCATATTAAAGAAAAGGGCAAAACCAGGGAGGTAGTTAAGTTCCGAGACAAGCCACGTAACTATAAAATCTCAAGCTGATGACAATTATGCAAATAGAACGAAAAATAAGGGCATTATGGAATTTAAATAATCATCTCTCCTTAGACACATTCATGTTGTGGATTCTCTCTGCATTTGACGTGAAAATAACCAACCAAGAAACCTCAAACAAAACAAAATGCCTCAACAAAACATAATAGTAGAACAAAGATTAGCATTCTGAAGAGAGAAACAACAATTTTTTTCCAGAGGAAAGGAAAGGAAATGAGAATTGCAAAGGGGGCTATTTTTCTTTCCTTTTCATTCATCATCTCCATATATTGAGGAAGAAAAAACAAAATATAGGGACATTGATTTCATATTATATATACCCCTTATTGCATACTCCAATTATATTTTTCTTTCCCATTTTCATTTCTAAACCCTTCAATTCTTCTCTCTTTTTTTTTCCATCTCATTTTCTTGAATTTGCATTACACATTGTGGAGAAGCTAGAGAAGAATGAGAGACCAAAGGCCACGCCTTGAAAGGCAATTTTTGGGTGCACATTTGCATATATAATGAGGCGCATTGTGGGTAATTGTTGGATAAAAATATCATTGGTTTTTATGGGGTTGTGGATTTGAAGGGAAAAATTGGAGTCTTGATTGATCTCCATTGTGTTTGTTGAGAAATGGTATGGCTTTCTTGCTTTTCTCTGAAGAATTTTCTTAGTTTGCATGTTGGCTTTTGCTTAAGTTTTTGTTATTTTCTTCAAGTAGTTGACAGCTGCGGTTATTATGTTTTCAATTGCATGAGAAAGGTGACGTATTTGTTTTTGCTTAACTATACTGTTCTAATGAAGGGTTATTATAATTACTTCTTGGCGATAAATTGTTCAGATATAACTAAGTCCATAATTGTGTATTCTATTTTACGACTTTAAACTTTTAGATGAGATTATCACATAATTCAACATGGTATGAGACAGAGGTCTTAGGTTCAATTCTCACCTCCAACCATAATCATCAGAAAGAATTTGCACGTGCTACAACTTAAGCTTTTGGATGAAATAACCACAGAGTTTGTTTCAGAGAAAGGAAAAATAACATTATTTTCAGTAGGTTCAGAGAAGCTGTATTTTCTTTAATAAGAGAGTGGCAGTTAAATTGCTTTCCGCATGACGGTCTAAGTATATTATAAACTGGCCTTATCCATCTTGTCGATTGGCTAAGGAGTGCATAAGTGTTAGAGTGGGTTAGAGTCCCACATCGGTTGGGGATTGGGCTGGTGCGTAGTGGTCTCCTTATATGGACTTAGGAAATCTTACTCGCATGAGCTAACTTTTGGGGTTGAGTTAGGACCAAAGTCCATATCTTCAAAATAAGCAAGCCAACTTTCATCGCTCCAAGAAGAACTTATTTTTTAAAGCTCACTTTCAACTGTCAAGTGTTGCATACTGCACCTCCAAGTTAGAGGTTCTTGAGATTTGTCAGAACGGGTTAAGTCTCGCATTGGTTGGGGAATGTGCTGGTGGTCTCCTTACATGGACTTGGGCAATCTTCGTTCATGAGCTAGATTTTGGGGTTGAGTTAGTCTCAAGGTCCATATCTTCTTCACATGCTATCAAAGCCAGCCAGGTGTGTTCCCGTTTGGGCTCTCGTATTATATTGATCATGCTCCAGTTGGAGGTCTGGGCGTGTGAGGGGGTGTTAGAGTCGGTTAGACTCTCATATTGGTTTTTGGGGTTGAGTTAGGCCTAAGGTTCATATCTTCTTCACAAGATTAAAGTTGGTTTACCTGCATGAAGCTTCTATTTGGAAACAAAAAGAAGTAAATTTGTGTGTTTGGATGGGCCCATCTCTGTTAAAGTATTAGCCAGTGTTCTATTCTCCCTGTCAAGATAAAAATTTGCATAGCTAGCTTTAGTCGCTTCAAAGTATTATTTTTCTAGTAACTAAACTCTATAAACGAGATTCCGTTAGACACGCCTTAATGTTTGCTTCGCCTTTCAGCTTCTAAATCATCAGCATATGTTACTGAGAGTCAAAATGGCATATTCAAGAGTAAGATATGTAGACAAATATAGATTCCATGTGCAGTATATCTGTCGTCTCTTGTTCTCCTTTTCTCTTCTGATTTTATGTCATGTTCTTCGGTTCTTTTTTGCTTTTTATATCTCCTCTCTAGTGTATAATTCAAACCTTCTATGTGCATAGTGGTTTTTAAGGTACAAAATGTTTTAGTGCTGTGACTGAGACTTCGAAAATTCTAAATGTTGTGCAGAGTGTTTCCGCCAGTGTTGTGGTTGGATCTCATGTATGGGTTGAGGATCCTGAGGTAGCTTGGATAGATGGGGTAGTTGCTGAAGTCAATGGTGAAGAGATCACAGTTAACTGCACGTCAGGGAAGACAGTGAGTTTTACATTAACATACACCTTTTACACATTTCTATTATTTACATTATTTAAAGTAAATTTTTCTTTGTCTTTTAAGCTTTAATATTCTACTTTTGCTGTATTATGTTTGATCCACATCCTTGGTGCCCGTGGCAAATGCTTGAATGATAGTGTAATTATGACTTGTTGCTTCCTGCATACATTCTTCTAGATAGTTGTGAAAGTAGGTGAACTAGAAATTCTTTAACTTGCTAGTATTGTCCGCTCTGGTAATTGAGCAGATGCCTTGGTGTTTTGACTTGTATTGTCCTCTTGTAATTGTCTAAATAATCTGTTGAATCTTCATCTTCACTTTTAAGTTCCTTTTTTCTTTTCTTGGGAGAATAAATAGCATCGTGGGATTTGATATTCCAGCGCATAAACTACTGATTTCAGTCAATTTTGATCTCAGAAGATAAAAATCTGATTGTGGCAGGCAGTATTATTGATAAGATTAGATATGGTTATACTGAGTAAAGGTCTGTTTACCATGTTGTTTGTTTAGCTTACTATGGTCTCTGAGCAGAGTGCTCTTTGGCAAATTTTGAAAATTAGTCTTTATGAGCTAAAATTAGTTTTGGTTTGAATATAACAATGATCATAAAGCGCAATAGTATCCATCTTTAGTGTTTGCAGCATGCTGCTAGCTAGCTCTGTAGACTGTCACTTTTTGGAAAACAGATTGACAGGATTACATCATTTTATTTTCCCGGTATCTGAATGTGTTGTCTGATAAATCTCCCTGAATTTCCTTTGTAGGTTGTAACCAATCTATCCCATGTGTACGCAAAAGATACTGATGCGCCTTCTTGTGGCGTGGATGATATGACAAAACTTTCTTATCTGCATGAACCAGGAGTTTTGCAGAATTTGAAAAGTCGATATGACATGAATGAAATTTATGTAAGGGCTTTCAGGACGATTGTTATGCATTTTTTGAATCAGATATATTTTCTGTTTCTTTTCTTGATGATTTTTAGGCATTAAGGGGTGGTTTGGTTTGGTTCATGGTTATGTGGGGACTATAATTCAATGAATAATAATGATATGAATTATGTACAGTGAATAATAATGTAGTATTACACATAAAAAAAAAGTAAGTTTCCTAGTATAACTTAATGCAGGTTTTATTTGATACCGTCAACCAAACATAACACCAGTTATGCAGGGATAATATTTCCAACCAAATGCTGCCTTAATGCGGAAATTTATTTTCTAATCCATCCAAGCAAACACTGCATTTTTTTATGTCAGGATTATTTTTGCTAATCCGTTCAACCAAACAACCCCTTATGTTTTCTTTTTCTTTGTCATGTCTTGAGTAAACTGGTTGAGAAAGCTAACATGTGATTTGGTGCATTCAGACTTACACTGGGAGCATATTGATTGCCGTGAACCCCTTCAAGCGGTTACCCCATTTATATGATAAAAGTGTGATGGAACAGTACAAAGGCATTGCACTTGGGGAGCTGCCCCCTCATCCGTTTGCTATTGCTGATGCTGCTTATAGGCAAGATTCATGGTTTTTCGTGTAGCTGTCAAAGTATTAACTTCTGTATAATCTTTAACATTGTGCTTCTGAATTCAGGCTGATGATTAATGAGGGGATAAGC